CTGATGCAATTCTTGCTACTATAATTGGTTGGAATTGCTGTTTAAGTTCATCTTTAACATTTGCGAAAACTGGATCGAATAAAGCAACTTTAAAGAATTTCTTAGCTGAAATTTCAGGTCTAATATTTGCATATTGACCATCAAACTGGTTAGAATATCGTGGTAATCCATCCGGTCCCTCTTCAATAGCATTTAATTCTTCATTGAAATAAGAATATGGATTATGACGGTATGAATTAATTGGACCATTTTCACCTTCTCCAATGTATTGTTTAACAGCTTTTCCATTTTCATCAAATTGCATAGGATAACGTTCATTATATACTTTACGTTTAGGATAATCAGACATAGTTAATTTATAACCATTTATGACTTATTATTTCCTTGACCATCAGTAACGAAAACTTCATTTATACCATCAGGTTTTCCATTTGGACCCGTAATGTCTGCTTCGTGTGCTTCCCAATTTGGACCATGACGTTTGGCATATGCTTGAGCTTCTGGTAATGTTAAAACGTTTCTCATTTGTTTAACATCTTTTTGAAGACCAGCAACAATATGAACTAATTCTTTCATTCCATCAGGAACTTTCATAGTTCTATTATATGCACCCTTTTTGTTTGTCCCTTGTTTTAATGGAACCTGTAGAAGATTTTACCATTTCTGTCATGTTTAATTATAAATAAAAAATAAAAATTAATTATAAAAAGTTAATCAAATTTAACACTCCTTTATTTAAATCAACTATTATTTTCCATGTTCACCTAATTGCTGATATTGTGTGTAAAGTTCATTAATGCTCATTGGTAAATTCACTTGATAAAGCATAACGTTCAACTGTTGACGACTAAACCCACTGAAAATGAAAAGGGTTGATAGATTTGATTTAATGTTTGTGCTTAATGCTTTGAAGTATTGAACAGCCATGAAGAATGAACACTGAATGTGTCGACATTGAGTTAATAATGATTAAAATATGATTTCTCATTTGTTATTAGTTTTGATTTCACCGCATCATCTAGAAAAATGAGTGAATGCAAAAATTCTCTATCAAAATTTGAAATAGAAAGTGTTTCAAATAATTCATCCCGTTGTTTATCAATAATTTTATCCTCTAATCCTTGCTTCTTGATTGTATTATATAATTCTTTATACATTAAAAAGTTTTTTAAATAATCTTCTGCTTCTTCTTGTGATAAATAAATAATTGGAATTTTGATTAAATGCTTTAAAGATTCAAATGTATCATCTGAAGGTGAACCTGAACGGTTGATATAAATTAACACATGTGAATAGGGGAAGTGTTAGCAATAATGATAATTTGTTTTAATATCGTTAATGTTTTACCTTTATTTGTTTACCAATTGCTGCAGTGATTGAATTTAAGTAACATTCAGAATATGGAATTTTCATTAATTTTTCCTTAGATAGAGCATTTCTATTATCACTCAATGCTTCATTAATCATATCATCTATGTATGTATTATATACTCCTGCTAATTCTTCATAAGGGGTGGATGAATTTAAATCCATTTAATCAAAAATAAATTTATAATTTTAAACATTTCTATTCATCAATATTTCATCATATGAACTTCTATACTGTGGTGGTGTACCTGTTGGATGATATTTCAAACCTTCATCCGGTGTCCATGTCCAATACGTAGTCCTAGTAAACCAAACCTGAGGAGGATTTGTCACCTTTGAACAGTAAGTGTCATTTACACCCTGAATGATTGGATAAGCTTTCACTTGTACTGTAACTTGTGAATTGAAAGTTTCTAATCCATCAAAGAATATACCCGCTCCATCACGTTGAACTGGAATAGTGCATAAGAATGAAGTTTGGTCTTTCCATGTTCTAGCTAATGGCGTGCCATTATCATCATTCAGTGGTCTAGTTAATGAGTCCTCGTATTCTTCTGTGCATTCATTCACTCCATCTAAATCAGAAGCTTGAAGCATACGTGTAAAGAATATATCACCCACTGTGGTCATCGCTTGATCGGGGTTTCTGGAATCTATAGTGACCTGAAGACCTCGAAGCATTGGATTTTCTAAAACTGTTCTTTGCATTGCATTCTTCGGAAATGCTAACACAACATCTGTAACATTATGAAGAGCGTATGAGAAATCTGAGCTAATACCTTCAGGAGTGATGCAACCTCCATTTAGTGAACGAACGTCAATATGTTGAGCTGGAATCATGAATGGATCTTCCTTACTGAATAAACGTGGTATTGCTTTAACTGATTCTTCAATTAAACCGTATCCTGGTGTAATGCATTTATCCTCTAAAACTTCCATCTTTGTGCATGAAATAATAACGTCATCAACTGTTGCGTCAGCAGATGTAGCGGCTAAGCTTGTAATTAATTTGGCAGGAAGTCCGATTTGTTGGAATTTGCGATCATATTTATAAACATGATTCATAATCTTTTCATAATTTTCATCAGTTATCTTTTCATAAACGTAATTTTGTAAATCAGCAACTCTTAACGGGTCAACCTGACAAAATACTAAAGTATCCCTGAAAACATAATATTTAAGAATGATATCACCAAATGATTTAGGATAATCATCGAACGCCTGAAATGCTAACAAATCATTTACTGGAATAATCATATCAAAAGTGATATCAACTTCTTCATTTGCTTCTTGAAAACTTCTGAAGGGTCAATATATTTACCACATACTGAGTTATCATATTTTTGAACATTATTATATAACGAATGAACAAACTTTTTAACTTTCCTTTCTGATTTTGGTTTATATGTTGCAAATGCGAAAGATTCACGGGCGCAATCCATCTGAAGATAACCGGCATCACCTCTTTCAGTTTCTACTTCTAATTGTTTAAAGCTTTGATTTGATGATTTGTAACCAACGAATAAACGCATGCATTTAAAAGCGGCATCACATGTGAAAGCTTTATTTGAAACTAGAGTTGCTTTAACTTTGCGTTTAATATATGTGTCACCTAATTGGTTCACATCATGAGCCGGATTTGTAATTCTTAAATGAGTTTGTTTATCATCAAAATATGGAGCATCAGAGTCATAGCATGAACTTTCAAGTTCTCTATAATATCTTCTACCGTCATTCTTTGCGAATATTTCATTTATCTTTTCGAATGAATGAAACACATTTCCATTAATCGGTTTAGTGTTTGGCACCAAATAGTTAGTCATTTATTATTAATAAATAAAAAATCAAAATTAAAAGATGAAAATGAATTTTTAATTTTAATGAAATAATCAACTATGGCTGCAGGTATATTTAAGAAACTGTGGGATAAAGTAAAAAGAGGAGCGCATAAAGTTTGGGAAACAATGAAGAAAGGAGCAAATTGGATATTTAAGAATAAAGAAGCAATTAGTGACGTTGCTGAATCAATAACGCCAAAAGCTGCCCCAATAAGAGAAATTTTAAATAAAGGAGAAAAAGTTTATCAAAGACTTCAACCGATACTAAGATAAAAATAATTTTAAAATAATTTATTTTTCCACTATCTACCTCCTATTTTATTAAGTATTCCTTCAGCTATTCCACCAATTGCGTTACCTGCTTGTGCTCCCATCGCCGGATTACCTGCTTTAGTACCTAATACTCCACCTATGATAGTTCCTGCCGTTTTCGCTACTGGTGCCAAAAAGTTTGCAATGGGTTTAATAATCTTTTTATGAACCCAACCCGCAGCTTTCTTAATTCCATCCCATAATTTTTTAAAGAATCCTGCCGCCATTTCTGATTTAATATTAATTAAAAAATATATTTCATCACTTATATTCTAATTTTTATTTAATGATAAATGAAACCAATTTTAAAAATAAATGAAACAGAGGAGGAAATTAATGAAAATGTTCAACAAAAAATAAACATTGTTAAACCAATTACTGAAATAAAAATTTTTTCATCTGTTGAAGAATTTAATGACTATTATGCTAACAATAAAAAATTATTTGAAGAATTGACAACATGTAAATTGAATAAAATGTTTAAAGTTGATGGATTCAAAATTTCAAAAATAAAAGGAGTGATTAGTTTGAAATCTATTCCTCAATCAAGAATCACCGCATTAATGAAAATTGATGATTTAACAAAAAGAATAGAAGAGATTGAAGAAAGAGTAAATCAGATAATTGATTTCATAAATTCAAATAATCATTAGTTTCTTAAATAATATATCCTTTATTTCCTCATTTGTGAATCCTGATGTTTTCACGTCGTTAGTTTTGACACTCATTTCATACAAAATAAAAATAAATTATTCAAAATTGTAAGACATGAATTTTTAAAGTTTATTTTTTATTTCATTATGGTAGTGAATCTTTTACTCGTTTATGAGGTCTTTGATTATGACTCCATTGATTCCATTCAGGATTTAAACAATGTTTAATTAATCGCGGAATATCTGACATCATCTATATATAGCTTCTTTTATAAAAGATGGAAAAATAAATTATTTATTTCATTATGTTAATTTTTTAATGTGTTTAGTATATAAATATTTATTACTAATTTATTTAATAATGTCGCACTTTCTTACAAATTCATGACTTTTAAAAAACGTAAGAATCATACATTTTTTACTTCATATGTTAAAAAAAATGATACAAAATCGCTCGATATTGTATGAATTCTTACGTTTACAAAAAAAGTCACACACCCCGTCCTATCCTACTTTTGTTTTTCCGTGATACAGAAACCCCTCTTGACGTTTTTGACTTTGCTTGGACTTAAATTATGAAGTATTTACCTGGTTAGGCTTTTGAAAACATTCAACATGAACTAAGCTTGATATTGATTAAAATTTTCATTTCAGTAAGACATTGCATTCAATTCTGTTGTTAAATATTTTCATAAATTAATCCCGACTAACACGACAAGCTCATTCATTTTTTGATATGATATATTAGATCAATCATTATATGCTTTTTGAACAAAATCTTGTTTAAGAAATATATAATACATTTATTATCTATCCATATTTTTATAATTTAAATCTCTTTGACCAATATATCTATAATATCTTGATAAGCATTTTCTTCTGCAATTTGCAAAGGATCCTGATTCATTTCATTCTTTATAGATATATCTGCATCGTTTTCCAGTAAGAATCTAACTAGGCTTACATTGTTATTCATTACAGCAATATGAAGTGGAGTATCACCATTTAGTCCTCTACCGTTAATATTTACACCACAATTGAGTACTCTCTTGTAAAATATTAGAGTTTCTTCATTTGTTTCACTATCATTTCCAATCAAATGTATCATTATCGGGAATTCATTTCCTTGCGAATCTTTTGCTTTTAAGTCAGCGCCATTTTTCATTAAGTATTCAAATACATTATATCTGTGATAATCAGCAGCAAACAAAAGCGCTGACATGTCAAACTGATTGCAAAAGTTAATATTTGCACCATTTTCAATTAGTATTTTAACTGCTTCTAAATCTCCATTTTTACATGCAATCATTAATGAAGTATCTTCTGAGGAATCCATTATATCTGGATGTGTTGCTTTAAGAATTATATAAGGAATAAGTTCTTTAATTTTTACCGAAGTTGCTGAAATTAATGGATACTTTCCTGTTCGATCTCTTCTCATGCAATTACTTTCCATCATTTCCTCGAATATATCAATATTTCCCGATTTAATTGGCGACAACCAACAACATTCAACATTGTACTTCGAATGCAAAAATTCATAAACATCGTTATGATGAAATAAAACACTTAAGTCTGCACAATATCCATCAGCTTTATTTTGGATCTGATCAACAATCGAGATAATTGTAAAATTACCTCCGCAAATTGCTGCATAAAAAGTTTCTCTTCCTGGTTTCATTCCTGAATTCAACAAGAATTTAAAACAGTTTTCTGAACCATAAAAAGCTGCTATATCTAATATATTACTAAATACTAATAATTGAATGAATTCTTCTATACTAACTACGACATCCATGCCGTTTTCTTCGACAAATTTAATCAAATTTTCCACATCATCGTGCAAAAGAAAATAATTAACTGAATTTTTATCATAAACGTCATAAATTTTTTCTTCATCACATGAGATATCATGTTTGCATTCCATCATTTTATATTTCTGCAGGAGCTCGTGAAGATCTTCTGAATAAATTGTTGAATGAATTTGATTTACTTTAAATTTTTGATAAATTGATTTCAGAACCGTGAATATCGATCGGATTAAAAGCGGGTTTGCGGCACATTTAAAACCAAAATAATAAAATACTGTTTCAATTTCAATAATTTTATTTTCTATGAATTCAGACATTTGGGAAACTATTTCTTCGATATTATTATCTGCTACAGACCATATTATTTTGCAGCAATTTTTGAATTGTGTGAATTTCCCAATAATTTCCTTTTCATCCATTAAAATTTTTGTCACTTTTTCAAAAAATCTGTTTCATATTGATTTACACAAAAACCTACTGGGAACACTACCACACATAATTGTTAATACTTGTTAACATTTTAGCTTTCATTAAACTGGCTTTTATATTAATAGTGATTTTATTTAAATATTAAAAGGAAAAATTCTCAAAATTTCACATTCAACTGCTTTAAAAACAAGGCAAATTTCATGTGATACATAATTTTTATTAAAAAGTGAAAAAAAATCAAATTAATGTTATTGCATATTAAATATCAAAGATGGCAATGCTTATCTAAGAATTTGAAACTTATGACATCCAACTCTGTCATTTATCATATCAATTGGTAGTTATTTCATGAATCATAATATTGAAAAATCGAATTGAGGTCAAATTCCTTTAACAAAGATATGTTGGCCTTAGGTAATCGAAATCTATTAAAATTGATGCAAGATGAACTAATAAATTGATTTACATCTGTAAATTTGAAATACATATTTGTGTAAGTCCAATAAAGAAGTTATGGTGCTATGGTTATTCATTAATCCCGTAGATGCAATGTTGGTTTTATCGATAATTTAAAGGAATACTTGAATTGTTAATTTTCATTAAAATTATATTATGTATACTATTATGTAATGAATAATAAAAATCTATGGTCCAAAAATTTTGTCTATTTCTTGAGATATTACACTATCAATGTTATCATTCGAAATTAAATTCCGATATCTTGTTGATATCTTTGTAAATTCCCCAATGAGAGTCTCTAGTTCAGTTATTTGTTCTTTGTAACGTAATTCATTTGTTTTTGCATTTGATTTATAAATTTGATTGCACGTTTTAAGTCTTTCCTCTAAATTAGTGATCATAGTGTCTGTCACTTCGTCAATGTCTTCGTTATTGTAGTTGTTTTCGCAAAGAGGTGAATTACTCATCCGATCAATAAAAATTTGAAATTAAAGAAACTCAAAATCCAAGAAAATTCATCATTCATGAGCTGAAATACATCCAATGAAATAAAGAGTTAAGTGATTGCCGTAATGATTGGTTTTCTTATATGGTATTATTTTCATTTCACAAGCCTTGTAACAATAAAACATAAGTAATTTTTATAATACTTATTAACATTATGACTAATTACTCTAAAACGAAGATAATATAAAAATACGTAGAATGTAAGAGAAATAAATCTAATATTTAATATACAATTACATAAAATCTTTGTCGTCAAAGATATTTTCAGCTTCAGGAGAAGGTGTATAAATCTTCTTCTGATTTTCTGGATCTACAAACTGAACAAGGAATCTAAGCGCAGCAACACTCCATTCAAGGACAGCAGGATCATCAATATCAGCTTTGTTAATCTTCTTTAATATATCAACTGCATTTAGATTCAATGCGGTGCATCTTGCTTTTTCTGAAGTACCAACAAGTGCTGCAAATATACCAATAATATTTGAACGTGCCTGAGCTGGTTTTAGACCATTCTGCTGAATTATATCTAAAATAAATTTCAAAAATGGTTCTTGATCAATTGTGTCAGGTACAGCTTCACAGGTATCATGCAATAGGTCTGTTATGGAGTATGTTATATCGATATGAGTTAAGGCATATTTTAAGAAGTCTAAAGCACATTCTGCCATTAATGTAATCAAATGGAAGTAAAAATCTTCATCAACTTCCTCGGTTGCCTCGTGATATACTTTAACAAAAGGTAAGAGTACGTCTACTGTTAATTTTGATCTGTATAAACTATGTGGTTGGCAGCATGATAGTAAAAACAATAGTAATGACTTTCCAGATTGTTGATTCCATTGAATTTGCTGGATTTTAGATAAAACTATGTCCAATAATTTTTCCTGATTATTTGGATTGGCAACTGAGAGGTTATTACATAAATTTAGAACTTTTCTTAGAATTGGATCATCTGTCTTTAAATGATCATCAAAAAATTGAGTAGGAATATGTTCCAAAATAAAATCTTGTGAATTTGAACTTTGGGAACAAGCAACATATAATGTTTTGAAGTTTTCTGGTGAAGTGTTTCCTCTTTTAAGTTCTTCAATTGCTTTAACAATTAAATATGGTTCCATTCTGAGTTTTTTTGTCTTGAATTTTTAAAAAATTTTTGTCACGTAAATTATGAAAAATTTTGTCAAATTTCCATATACTTCATTCAGGTACAGTATTCCGTTGAGTATTATTAGTGCTCGTTTCATGGTGGCCTATTGGATATTAAATCAGTTCAAGCATTTGGCATGAATTTTTGCAATTGAATGGATTATTTCTTTCATTATTCTATAATTTTATATTTTTTCTAAAACATATAACAAACTCAACTACTACTATATGATATTTTCATGTCATAAGGTATAGTTATATATCTAATATCTTCCGATTTAAAATTTGTGAGTTAAAGAGATATTAATTGCTGCAATCATATTGTCGCAATAATACAAAACTTTTTGCTGACTTTAAATAGATTGTATTCTCTTATTTTTCATGTGATATGAGAATTATGAATTCTAAATACATTTTTGTTTATAATTGAGTATGTAATAGATTATGAGGCATGAAAATCATATGAAAATCAATTGATTTATGCTCAGATTATGCTCAAACAAAATTTCAAAATAAATAAAGTGAAACGCGATATTTTTATACGAAATCTATGACAACCACTAGATCGTAAATATGAATCCAAAATCAAAGAAGTTAATCTAAACGGAAGCGTTTTTTATCGTTATTGAAACTAAATTTTTTCTTTTCATTGTAATGAACCATTCACAGACGAGTTATATGCTTACAGAAGAATTTGTGAAGGCATTCATTGCAGAAACAGATAACATTGATCGAGATTTCAATGGTAAAACACTCGCAAGAATTTGTGTTGAAAATGGAAGGCTTGATTTATTAAAACCTCTGATAGATAATGGATGCAAACCAGATTTTTTGATACGTGCTGCAGTTAGAAGTCATCAATTTGAAATTATGAAGTATTTAATCGAAAAAGGCTTTAATGTTAACGAAACAACTGCAATGACAGCTTCTGCATTATATGCAGCAGTTACAGAAAATCTTCCCGAGTATGGAAAAGAGCTTTTAGACAATGGAGCCGATCCAACCGTGACATTTAAAGATCAAGCCTTATTATCATACGCTGCGAGAAATCTATCACCACAATTCTTCAGAATGCTCATTGAAAAAGGTGCCCCTATATCCGCACTTCCTCCAGCTTTACCTCCTTTAATAACGGCTTTAAAGAAACAGCAAATGAACATTGTTGCGATACTTTTATCACTCGGAGCCGATCCAGATTCGTATTACCAGTCTCATGACAACAAAGCTGTTTTGTATCCTTTAGATTTAGCGTTCAGAAATAAATCATCATCCGCAATGACGATGCTTCTTATGACAGGAGCGAGGAAACACAACATTAATATCGATGAACTAGAAGACGATATGAAAAAACAACTCGAAGAATGTTCTAACCCAATTCCATGCAGAGATCCACAAATTCAACGCGATATTAGATTACTAATAAGCCAGTTCAAGCCATTGGAAAGCTTAATTCATACTCTTGCCGGTGAAATTTCGCAAGTTCAAGATACCAAACGAATTACGATTGCTCCTTTGCTTTCAAGTATCAGAAATGTATTCGAAAGGCTCACTGATTTTATACCACGCGTATTACAAATGTCTAAAACGATTGATGACAAAAGATTACCAATTCTTAAGAAACAATTCTTAATTTTTGAACAGGATGATAGAAAGAAGCTTACACCTGTTGTTGTTAGTGACAATGACAAGTGGAGATCCCTGTTTTCAAGAACAATTGAACTCATGAACAGAAATAAGAGTCGTGGAGCACTTCAAAAGAATGCATTCATCGATTATTGTAATACAGAACTCAGAAAACGTGCTGAGAAGTTCGCTGATCAGCAATCTTCTGTATTAATTTTTAATGATGAAGTTGCAATGGCAGATCAAAATGAAATGTATGAAAATAAGGAAGCCCTTGCATTTTACGCTGATATCTTGAAACAATTTAAATCACTTCTCAAAATGATCCATGATTCTTTGATTTCTATCCAACAGACATCCGAAACGTTCTTTTCCATGGCCATAGAACATGTCGATGAAGAAGAAAAACGTTTGGAAATGCTCAGTAGTTCAGAAACAATGTTTTACAGAGCAGGACTTTCTGTTGTCATGATTCAAGAGATCCAGGACTCAATTCAACCAAAGAAAGAACTTGTTAGACAGACAAAGTTGATTCTTGTCAATAATAAGCAAATGACAGAAAATTGTTCTAATCTCCTCAGAAAATGCATTCGTCAATGCGTGAAATAATTTGTTTTGTATGATTTTTTATATTTAAAGTCTATTTTGTGTTTTTTCTTTTTAATTTCTTTTTTATTTTGTAATATTTAACAAAAAATCAACAAAAATATGCGAATTATATCAAATATCTGATTCTAGTAGATAACACAAAGGAGAGATAGACACACACATGGAAATATCGATTTATGTTTTGAATTATAGATAATGCTCTTGAATTATTGAGCTCCTTTTTCCCTATGTGGCTGATTCCATTAAATACATTTCTTTCCCTTATATATTATAATACAATATCGCAAATTTCTGACAATTGAAGTGAAGAATCAACGAAAAGTCCGCTACACAGCCATAACGTGTATTGTTATAAAAGTTCCAATAATTCCAAAGTGATGCACTAAGTCCCATGGAACCAAAATCTATTTACTGCAATGATATCAGAATAAAAGTGACAATGATTGGGGAAGATTCTTTATCTTATACAACTCAGACTTATGATGAGCTCAAATCATTTTTAGAACTTAACAACATTACTAAAATAATCGATTGCTGCTCATCTCCATCTGTAGTTTGTTTAAATGTTGAAAAATCACAACCTTTATTTTATTTATCTAAAGAAAGGAAAGTGTTTTTCCCCAGCTCATATAAAAATATTGCTTCAATTATAACTTCCATGGCAATTTCACCATGTGAAAACTATGCTTTAACAGCACATGAAGATGGAACAATAATTTTATGGGATATCAAGAAGCAATCTGCATTGGCATCAATAAATATCGAAGATAAATCTAAAATAGTATCAGCAGTATTCTTAGGATCATACGAAACCTTCATTGTTGCGCAAGAAAATGGCATGATTAGAAAATATGAGGCTTCTACTATTTCGCTATTCTTATTCTTGAAGGAAAAAGAGTCCTTTAATACACAGGTACCAATTAAAAAGATAATTTGTTGTAATTCAATCGATAAATCAATAATTTTCCTTGCAGTACTTCACAAATACAAAGTATCAATCTATGATTTAATCTTTTCATTTAAGAATATCGCAAACATCGAAATTTCTGGAAATAGCGATATTTCATTTATAAATAACGAATGGCACTTCAATTTAGCAATTCAAGACGGTCAGAATGTTACAATATACAGAGTTAATGATTCTTCACTCTCTAATAAGAAGTGTTTCTTTGAATTTCCGGAAGAAATTATTTATATCGGATTCATTTCTCCAATTTTACTTGCTGTTGTTACGAAATCAGAGATTACACTATGCAACATCTTTGAAGAGGTTTGCAGTGTTTACAACGACCTTCCTTTCAATTCTGATAAAATTTGTTCAACAACTCATTCTATTTCATTAATTCCATACGGGTCAATCGAAATACAAGACTTTGAAGGCTGTATCAAGCATCTTTTAGAGCAAGGAAACTTCTCAAATGCCGCTGAATTAGCAGTTTCAATTTATTGTGGGGATTCTTCCTATTTCTCATGTTCACAACGCACTGATGCCCTCAAGCAGCAACTTCGCAACGCCATTTTGCTTCTTGTCCATTCCCCGACATTTTCAAATTCACAATATCCTTTTGTTGCTGATTGCATCACACGCGGTGACATCTTAGACCTCACACTTGATGATACACTCAAGCATTTGTCGAATCCAGAGTCCAAACTCGAATTTTGTATTTCACTCCTTAAATGCGACGAAGTTCGACCAGAAGTGACCAGTAGAGTTATAGATGAGCTCGATAAGCTTCAATCCTTCTGTAACAAAGACGTAGAAGACGCACTTTTGATGTCCCCATTATCCGCATCATTTTTACAAAAAGCGATAGCGGTGGGAATCAAACTCCGCTACTCCAGATTCGTTCTCCATACCTTTGATCGCTTTTTCGATGACATTTTACCACCTTTTGCCCAAATTATTGAGTCAGGAGACAAAGAAATAATTTCACAGACGTGTAAATACGTTTTCCTGTCGAAATCATTCTCAGACAGCAAGACAAACACGTGTATTATATGGCTGCACGCTCCAGGCAAGAACAGGCTTCAAACAGTCTTCAAAAGCGACTGGTCAATTTCTTGTCAAATTGCAGAGAACTTTTTGAAAAGATGTCCGATAAAATTTTCAATGACTCAAAATTTGACAAGTGTTGACATGGTTAGAACAATGTTTTTATGCTTTGAAGATGCTGAACCACCTTATGCCGATGATTTATTCACTTTAATTGCCACAAAATCGATACAAGAATCGATTCCTGTTCCAGCATTATCAGTTCCAACAATTCTTAAATATATCTTCAATTCAAAGGCACCAAGAGATATAAGGGAAGGCTTGTTCCTCAGGATAATCGATATAGATTATCATCCGCACATTGACATCTCCCAATTCAAATACCATGCAGCTAGAAGTGGTTTTTCATGTGTTGTTCAAAGACTGGCACATGGAGACAGCGAATTAGAGCTAAGAGCTGAAAGTTGTTTGTTAAGTGACAATCCAGAAGATGCATTGCAGTTATTCGAACAATATGATGGAGATAGGAATACTGCGAGGTCAACAATCACTAAGTTCTTTAGACCTTTGTTGTATTTGAATCCGAGAAGATTAATCAAATTAATTTTTTCGAAATTCAAATCATTACATCCACAAAAAGTGTTGGAAATCGCTCAGCCATGTGATGCGAAATTATACTTTGATACTTTGTTTTCTATTGATGATCCTCCGATTGTTTCTCAACAGGATACTTCAACTTATATCCATTATTTAAGTTTGAAGAGAGATACACATCACATCATCAAATTCTTGAGGAATTCGCCAAATATATCAAGATTAACGGCAAACGAAACTTGTCTCCATAACCAATTACACATAGGATGCGCTGTTTTGGCAAGTATGACTGGCCAATACCAAAACGCATTCAAAAGTTATAAAGAACACATAAACATGGGCGGACAAGCGGATTTGGATCTGACAAATACAATATTGGAACATATGTCGTATATAGAAGATCCTGCACCTGTTGTCGTTAAAACTTTGTTGGAGCCATTGGTAAATAACATCGATGAATTCAAAATGGAAGTTGAAAAGGCTCTCAAATCAGAAAAAGTGACAAGAACTGATGTTTTAATTGCGTTGTTTAGTTTGAGGAATATCGCGAAGAACGAGAAGACTGAGAAATACATTGAAGAGTATTTGAACAGTGGAGATGCCTGCAAACTCAAAGTTCCTGATGCAGAAGCAGACGTGAAGATGTGTATGCCTGCTTACTACACTTTGGCAATTTCTGGAACAAATCCAATGTCGATGTCAGATGGAACTGTCATTGTTAAGGATTACGGAATTGGAATTATCACTGTGACAACTGAGAAAGAAGAAGGAGAACTGTTCGCAGATATGCCTGAACAAATCTCTGAACAAGTAAGGAATGTGTTGCAACACGCAGAAATTCAGTTGTTGATTAACAATAAGAAGAAGAAACAGGATGAACCTGTAACAATCATTATGGAAAAGAAGAAATAATAATTATTTTAAATTTTTTTGTTGTTAAATAAAAAATTTACTAAGTTTGTTTATTTTTTTATTTTTTGGCTTGAATACTATAAAATCAATATGGAGCCGGAATTGTTAGCCGAGGATAATGATGTGGTTACAATATGTATTCCATTTTTGAAATAATATCTGTTTGGAAAATGTACTAAGGATGCTTGTACATTATTTTAAAATCCTTTGACAAATATCTAACAGACAAAACCTTTCAATACTGGAAATATGGATAACATTTAAGAGAGTTAAGAGTTTTGCATCATTTTGCTACACGATTTTTCTTAATAAATATTTTACTGAGGAAAAAAAATCATTAAAGTTTTGATATTAGTATAAAAAAAAAAAAAAAAAAAAAGGTAGTGGGGCTTCCAGGCACTTCGTGCCTTCTAGCCCTGAGGATGAATGAGTATAAATGAAGTCTCAACAAAGTCTTTACGAAGAAGTCTCAACAAAGTCTTTACGAAGAAGTCTTGACAAAACATTTACGAAGAAGTCTTGACAAAGTCTTTACAAAGTCTTTACAAAGTCTTTACGAAGAACTTTACAAAACATAGACAAGAAAGTCTTTACGAAGAAGTCTTGACAAAGTCTTTACAAAACATAGACAAGAAAGTTCATGAGAAATTAGATGAAGAAGTCTCAACAAAACATAGACAATGAGCGTAAATGACCCAAAAATATATTTTAGGGTAGAAGGGTATATCTACCCTCTTTTCTACCCTCTTTTCTACCCTCTTGAATTTTCATGAACTTTCTTTACAAAGTCTTTACGAAGAAGTCTCAACAAAGTCTTTACGAAGAAGTCTTGACAAAACATTTACGAAGAAGTCTTGACAAAGTCTTTACAAAGTCTTTACAAAGTCTTTACGAAGAACTTTACAAAACATAGACAAGAAAGTCTTTACGAAGAAGTCTTGACAAAGTCTTTACAAAACATAGACAAGAAAGTTCATGAGAAATTAGATGAAGAAGTCTCAACAAAACATAGACAATGAGCGTAAATGACCCAAAAATATATTTTAGGGTAGAAGGGTATATCTACCCTCTTTTCTACCCTCTTTTCTACCCTCTTGAATTTTCATGAACTTTCTTTACAAAGTCTTTACGAAGAAGTCTCAACAAAGTCTTTACGAAGAAGTCTTAACAAAGTCTTTACGAAAAGTCTTGACAAAGTCTTTACGAAGAAATTCATGAAAATTCAAGAGGGTAGAAAAGAGGGTAGAAAACGGGGTAGATATACCCTTCTACCTAAAATATATTTTTGGGTCATTTACACTCATTTACGAAGAAGTCTCAACAAAGTCTTTACGAAGAAGTCTCAATAAAACATCTGTCAAAAGCCGCTTTTTAACTTCACTTAAAATGCCACGTAAGCTACGTAAGAATATACGTAAGAGGAAGAGAGCATTGAAACATCCAATAGTAAAACTGACACCACAACAACAGTTGCAACAACAAATGATGAATGACCCCACTATGTTGCAACAAATGTCAAGCAATCCTATGCTTTTAAACCGAGTTGTTGGTGCACAGAGTGGAGGTTTAAGAGCGGCACTTTTAGCGAAAATGGCAGGCTATGGTGGAGCTGCAGACGGAACAGCCTATAACCCTCAAAGTCAAATGAATTTGAGTTCACTCAAAAATCAAATAACAGATGTCAAAAAGTCAAACATAGACATACAGAAGCAAATAAGTGAAAACGAAAAGAAACTAGAATATGACAGACACACAAAGAAACTCAATGAGTTAAACGTAGAGAAAAAGAAGAAAGAAGAACAACTGAAAGAACTAAGTACAGAGGAATATGCGAAAAAAGTGTCAGAAAAAGCAGCAGAAGTAGCAAAAATGGAACAAGATGTTGTAAATTTGAAAAACCATACTACTCGATATAAAGTACTGAAAGATGAAGAGATAAAACAAAAAGCCCTGAAGACATATATGGATAGCGATGAGTATAAAAAAGAAGTTGAAGCAAATGTAAAGGCAGAAAAACTTTTACAGTTGCAAAACCAAACCGTACAGTATGAAAACTTAGCACAAGAAAGTAAAAATAACGACGCGGCTATGCAAAAGGCAATGAAAAGCGCAGAATATATAAAAGCTAACAATGACTGGTTAGATGCCCAAGCCAACGCTAAAGCAGCCCAACTCATAGGGTCAATAAGGACAAAAATACAAGCGGATGAAGACAGTTCAAATGAAGCTTTAACAAATGCTGACTTTAAGAACGCCTTCGAAGCTCTTCATAGTAAGGTGAAACAAGTGAACGACTTCTCATCTGGAAAGAAACTGAAGTCTGAAGGTTTCGACAAAGAGTTAAAAGAAGTAGCACAAAATATGACGAAAATAACAGATGCAGCAACGAGACAGGCAGTTCAAAGTGCCTATGACGCCGTTAGAGCAACTGTTGTGGAAAGTCAAGAAAAAGAGTTACAACAGACCAAAACAGACCTAGTAAATGCTTTCTTAAGAACGAAAAGTCAGGTAGGACACTATGCTGCAGATGGAACATATGTGCCAGCTGGTGGAACTTATATACCAGCTGGTGGAACTTATATACTAGCTAGTGGAACTTATATACCACCAAACCCTCCAAGAGAAGCACCTGCACCAGGACTACCTAAAACATTTACATCGTCACATGGACACAGACACAGGCATGCACCAAAACCAACACAACAACCAACAGTTCAAAATCCAGCACCACAACAACAACCAACAGTTCAAAACCCTGCACAGCAACCAACAGTTCAAAACCCTGCACAACAACAACCACAAACAGAGCAAGGACATAAAAGAAGTAGAGAACAAGGAAACCAAGAATTCTTAAAAATGCTTAAAGAAGAGTGTGGTTTCCCAGATACTGTTGACTTTAGTGACAGATATAAAGAAGCTATTGGAAAGTTCAAGGATGGAAATACTGACCCGAACCTATTTAGCTTTATGGCTCAGCACCAAAACGGATATAATCTCAAACCTGGAAAATACAAGCTCGCTAAGGGATATGATTTAATAGCATATCATCCAAATGACATGGATGGATTTACTCCGAGATATTTGATGTCAGAGCTAAATGACAATTCAACTTTCGTCATGAAACGCGTAAAAAATAGAGACGGAACGAAAGAACAAAAGCTTATGAATGCGGATGACGTAGATAGGGAAATTGTTGAAAACGGTCTCGGAATATATGAAATGCCAGCAGATGAGGTACAAGAAACTCCACAGGAAGAAGTTCAGATACAACCAGACATGGAAGAAATAGTTCAGCAACAACAGCTAGAAGAGCCTGAAGGAAACGAACAAGTCACTCCTTTGGAAACTAACTTCACAGAACTAGATGAAGATTTGGAACAGCCGAAAAATCTTGACCCTCAACAAGAGCATGAGGTGAATATGGAATCTTTCCAAGAGTCTAAGAAAGATTCGGCTGACATAGTAGAAGAATATCGAAAAATGTTTGCCGACATACAAAAGACTCCAACATCAGATGAAAAATATCCAGCATAGAATGGAAGAACTGAAAAAAATGTACACAAATACAACCACCCTTTTTACTTACGAGCATTTAACGTTCAATCTTCGGATGAACTCGGTGAAAATAAAAGGTTAAATTTCAAGAAAACATATAGAAATGAAACATTGTTTAAAGTTCATTCAGAACCTAACAAGATGGAAACAAACCTACTTTTGTTTCTGCAGACGATGGAACTACAATGAGATGGGGTCATAAAGCTAATCCGGATAGGTGGTTCATAAACTTACAACCACAATTCCAAGAAGTTGTAGACGCAATGGAAGTGAATGGTGAACCAGATATAGCTGGTATTTTCAGCGCGGCTTTAATGCCATTGAAAGATATGAAAGATGCAGATATTTTGGACCAGTATGAAATGAACATGGCTGATGGAAATATAACACCTGACGTTCTAAAACATTTATCTCAAAGAACTACACAGAACCATAGAGATGGTATATTTGGTGAAGAGTTTAGAAAGAAAGTTAGGGAGATAGAAGGAAGAGAACCTATTGTACATGACCTTGCAAACGAAAGTTTACAAAATGTCATAAAAACTTACTTTGCAGACAATGAACCGAGAAGGGATGAATATTTAAACTCAAATGGACAGTACCAAATGAAATGTTAGTATTGAAAAACATGTTCCTTGACAAAATAAAACCAACTACAGAAATAAACGACGCAAGACTGAAAGATTGGGTAAAAGCTTTCCCATTCACAAAAGATATAGTTGGTAACATGGAAAGAAAACCAGAATGGCTACAAAAACATATATTTGGAAACGAGCTTATTCCATATGGACAGGCACTGTTTGAAGAGCTTGAACCGGAAACTCAGGAAAGAGTCATGCAAACAATACGCGAAGACTCAAATACAACTATGACAAACTCTTTCTAGGATATAGGTTACCTGAGATGGGCGACCAGAGCCAAAAGGCAAAAAGGACATGGGAAATTTGCAACATACTAGATGAACATAATGCAAAGATGCAACAACTTCAAGCAGAGGGCAATGAAGGAAAAAGAAGAGTTAAAAACTCAGTCAGGAAGAAAGTAAAGCTTGGTCCACGTGGGTTCTATTATGACATATAAATCCAACTATTCTATATTTTTACTCATATGAAATGTACGCCGCTCAGAAATATAACGCCAACAGTTTTGGATGCTATGAATGGAAATGTTTCCGAATGGTATAACGAATGCGACAATGCCATTAGAAGGTCAGAAATAGTTCCTGGAACTTACGAATATACAACTGCTGTTTCTTATGGAAACGTAGGTGAGTTTGGAGAAGGTTCTTCAACAACAGTAGATATTGCTTGCGACAGGTTTCATATTATTTCTATTGACAACTCTTTCTTATACGTGGAACAAGACATTGAAATAAAACCTTCTGCCAAGTTGTCTGACAAGAAAGGTTGCAATGGAATTTTCTATGTCGGATACCAATATGCTCC